GAATCCCTTGCCAGTAAGCACAGCCCTGCCGTTGGATAGGATCAGGGAGCAGGCCCTGGGCTGATGGAGAGGTGGAGATTAGGAGAGGCCACCGTGGCCGCCTTCCCCATCGAGGGGGAGAGGAGCAAAGGGCAGGAAACGTGACCTCAAGGAGGATCAGACTGGCCACCTTGCGCTTGAGCAGTGATAAACGCCAGCCCTTGTGTCCCAGGGTTGTGACCTGGAGACAGCCACATGGTCAGGTGTTTAATTGGGACCAGATTCAAATGCACAGACCCCAGCACGTGAAGTGCCCTGACTCCAGCGTAGAGGGCGTTCCTAACAGGCAGAGGACAGGTACAGCCTGGGGTTGTGTCCTGCAGGGGGTGGCTCGGGACCACCAGGTCCCTGGAAAGTGGATCTGGAGGCCCTGGCAAAGAACTACCCCGGAGGTTCTGGGAGCCCCAGTTTCCTGCTTTAACTGCCTGTCTCACTTGGGGACCGCCAGGGAGCGTTTCCCAAGGCCTGTGACTTGGGCATGGCTCCTGAGAGCGCCTCCAAACCCAGGCTGACTTGGCAGGAGAGACTGGCAGAACCAGCCAGCCGTGCGCCGTTTTGTGCCTTCTTCCCGGGCTCAGTGGGGCCACATGTGTGGGGAGAGCTGAGTGGAGGTCGGAAGTGGGTCGGGACCTGCTGATGTGTGTCCGGGCTTCTGCATCCCAGGATCTACGGATGACTAGGGCTCGGGCTGGGACAGGTCCTCTTGCCCGCTAGGGCAGTGCAGACCAGCCAGAGGGGACCAGGCCAGTGAGTGAGGTCATTTGGAGCATGCACGTGCCCTGTGCCCACTGGATGGTCTGGTAATTCTGACATTAGAGGTTAAAAGTTAAGTCTGGTTGTTTATTAGGTGCTTCATCTGGGTTGAGCACCTATAGATTGTAGTGTATCTAATCTTCTCTATTTCCAGAAGGTAGCTGAGTGTGGTCCCACATTAAAAACATGCAGTCTGAGACTCAGCGAGGCACTGAAGTGGCTTATTTCAGTTGCTCAGCTAGTAAGAGGTAGAGGCAGGATTCAAACTCAGGTCCAAGGCTGCGCTTGCTGTCTGCTCCCTTCAGTGTTAGGCCCATTCGTGCTCAAGCTCCGACGCTGTGAGTGCCTGGCTTCTGGCCTTGATGGAGGGATGGAGGTGAGGAGAGGGTTCACGGAGCCTCTGGCGGCTCGTTCCTGTGGCCAGGGAGGGCCCAGAGCACTAACTAACAGAAATAGGCATATCTTACATTTCCTAGTAGCCGCGTGGAAAAAGTAAAAGACGTAAGTGAAATTAATTTTATTTATCCCAGTCCAGCCAGAATATTATCATTTTCACATCTAATCAATATAAAACATTATTCATGAGATGTTTTACATTTTGTTGTTGTTCTTGTTGTTATAAGCCTTTGAGGTCCAGTGTGTCTTTTACCCAGCTCAGTTTGGGCTAGCCACATCTCAGGCCTGGGAGCCACACGTGGCTGCCGGATCAGACAGCCCAGGCCTGGAGAAAGGGAAAGGTCAGCAGCTTCCCTGCTGCCAGGTTTCTGGTCCTGCCACAAAGCATTCCCATCTCCAGGGTGGTACATTCCTTTGTATATTTGTCTATCTCCGCCCAGAGCAGACATTGCAGGCCCTCGTGGACCTTGTCCGGAGCGCCAGGAGTCGGAACATTGGCGTCCTCCACCCGACCTTCAGTTTGAGCAAGCACCTCCGAGATGGTCTCCAGAGATACCTCCCAGACAACGTCCACCAGCTCCTCTCGGGCAAAATTGTCATCTCGCTCACCAGAGTGGCCGATGGAGAAAATGTGCTGGTGTCTGATTTTCGGTCCAAAGACGAAGTCGTGGACGTAAGCAGTTTGCTTATCTGGGTGTTGTCAAGTCATAAAGACCGTTTCATTTCAGAAGCAACAAAGAGAGGGCTGTCGTAAACCACCTGACCCGTTCTTTTCTTAAGATGCAAAAGAACCTGGTTGCCCACGATGCTGGCTAGCTTCCCGTACCAGGGTGGTATGAACTCTGAGTGCATCCAGTGGTCTGGTCCAGAGCACATGCAAAACTGGAGTGTTCCAGGACAGTTTCAGTTTCAAATAACCCCTCCCCATCCTTCAAGACACGGCTTATGACCTTTTGCTCCAGGGACCTCATCCCACATGTGTCCCTCCTCCCAGTGATGCCTGTTCCTTAATGAGGACCCCTCCAGTGAAGTCCCACAAGGGTGGGAGTGTGTCTTATTTGCCTCGAGCACAGAGAAGCTCATTGGCAATATGAAGCTACCACTTAGTTTGGCTGAAGCCTTTTATGAGAATTGCTCGGATATCATTTCACTTAACACAGGTCCCTACAAGCACACAGCCTGGCACATATAACCAGCAGCTTCTCAGCAGCCAGTGTCATCTTCCACTTAACCTTGTTTGTGGAGGCTTTTTCTAGGCAGCCAGCAACTGTGCATTCCCACGTGAGCCCTTTGTCTCACTGCATCAGTATTACATCCTGCTTGATGCTCGCTAGCATGGCGCGACTCAAAGCGTGGGCCTCAGACCAGCAGTCGCAGCAGCGGCATCGCCTGGGAGCTTGTTAGAATTGCAGGCTCTCAGGCCCCGCCTCCAAGCTGCAGCATCAGAACCTTAGGGGTGGGGCACCGAGTCTGTGGTTCGCCAAGCTCTCCAGGCGATTCTGATGAACCTCAGCGTTTGCAAAGCCCTGATCTAGCCCCTTCCCTGTCAATCAGCTAGTCACCAACTCTTGGTTCTGTCTCTGATGGCCCAGTGTGACCCTCGTGGGGAGCAGGGGCAAGAAGCTACAGTCTGCAGACGGTGTCGTTAGAGAATTGGTACTTGGGCCTGAAATAATAAGTGTGTAGGTTGGTTCATGTTCGTTCAACCATTTATTAAAGCACCTCCTCTGTGCCAGGAGTGTTTTCAGGCTTGCTGCTCTCCTCGCTTGGAAAAGGCTTATAAAGACCCAGGGGAACAAAAGGCATCCTGCTCTGGGCTGTGGTTTCACTCCCTTTTGTCTCCACAGGCCTTGTTCTGTTCCTCCTTCGTGCCTTTCATCAGTGGCTTGATCCCCCCTTCCTTCAGAGGCGTGGTAAGTCTGCTTTTAAACTGTGTTTGAGGGAATTCCCTGGTGGTCCAGTGGTTAGGACGCCTCACTTTCACTGCCAAGGGCCCAGGTTTGATCCCTGATTGGGGAACTAAGATCCAGCAAGCCAAGTATCAAAAAAAAAAAAAAAAAAAAAAAAAAGAGGCACTGGGCTCAGGTACCCTGGGCCCCTGAGACCTGTGTCCCCAGACGTGGAGCCTTTTTGCCTCTCAGCCTTCAGACAGAGATTCCATAGCTGGCCCCCCTCCAGGCTCTCTGGGCAGCAAAACCAACTTCGTGTAGAATAATTAGCTGGTTATCTGTAAGGTAAGCTCTTCAGTTAATCTTTTTTTTCTTTTTATTTTGGGAATTTTTTTTTAACATCTTTATTGGAGTGAAATTGCTTTACAGTGTTGTGTTAGTTTCTGCTGTATAACAAAGTGAATCAGCTGTATGTATACATATATCCCATATCCCCTCCTTCTTGCATCTCCCTCCCACCCTCCCTATCCCACCCCTCTAGGTGGTCACAAAGCACCGAGCTGATCTCCCTGTGCTATGCGGCTGCTTCCCACTAGCTATCTATTTTACATTTGGTAGTGGATATATTGTCAGTACTACTCTCTCACTTTGTCCCAGCTTACCCTTCCCCCTCCCCGTGTCCTCAAGTCCATTCTCTATGTCTGCGTCTTTATTGCTGTCCTGCCCCTAGGTTCATCAGAAACATTTTTTTTTAATTCCATATATATGTGTTAGCATACGGTATTTTTCTCTTTCTGACTTACTTCACTCTGTATGACAGACTCTAGGTCCATCCACCTCACTACGAGTAACTCCATTTCTTTTTATGGCTGAGTACTATTCCATTTTATATATGTGCCACATCTTCTTTATCCATTCATCTGTCAGTGGACACTTAGGTTGCTTCCATGTCCTGGCTATTGTAAATAGAGCTGCAATGAACACTGTGGTACATGTCTCTTTTTGAATTATGGTTTGCTCAGGGTATATGCCCAGTAGTAGGATTGCTGGGTCATATGGTAGTTCTATTTTTAGTTTTTTAAGGAACCTCCAGACTGTTCTCCATAATGGCTGTAGCAATTTACATTCCCACCAACAGTGCAAGAGGGTTCCCTTTTCTCCACACCCTCTCCAGCATTTATTGTTTGTAGATTTTTTGATGATGCCCATTCTAACTGGTGTGAGGTGACACCTCATTGTGGTTTTGATTTGCATTTCTCTAATGATTAGTGATGCTGAGCATCCTTTCATGTGTTTGTTGGCAATCTGTATATCTTCTTTGGAGAAATGTCTATTTAGGTCTTCTGCCCATTTTTGGATTGGGTTGTTTGTTATTCTGATGCTGAGCTGCATGAGCTGCTTGTATACTTTGGAGATTAATCCTTTGTCAGTTGCTTCGTTTGCAAATATTTTCTCCCATCTGAGGGTTGTCTTTTTGTCTTGTTTATGGTTTCCTTTGCTGTGCAAAAGCTTTGAAGTTTCATTAGGTCTCATTTGTTTATTTTTGTTTTTATTTCCATTTCTCTAGGAGGCGGGTCAAAAAGGATCTTGCTGTAATTTATGTCATAGAGTGTTCTGCCTATATTTTCCTCTAAGAGTTTTATAGTGTCTGGCCTTACATTTAGGTCTTTAATCCATTTTCAGTTTATTTTTGTGGATGGTGTTAGGGAGTGTTCTAATTTCATTCTTTTACATGTAGCTGTCCAGTTTTCCCAGCACCACTTATTGAAGAGGCTGTCTTTTCTCCATTGTATATTCTTGCCTCCTTTATCAAAAATAAGGTGACCATATGTGCGTGGGTTTATCTTTGGGCCTTCTATCCTGTTCCATTGATCTGTATTTCTGTTTTTGTGCCAGTACCATATTTTGTAGCTTTGTAGTATAGTCTTAAGTCCAGGAGCCTGATTCCTCCAGCTCCATTTTTCTTTCTCAAGGTTGCTTTGACTATTCGGGGTCTGTTGTGTTTCCATAAGAATTGTGAAATTTTTTGTTCTAGTTCTGTGAAAACTGCCATTGGTAGTTTGATAGGGATTGCTTTGAATCTGTAGATTGCTTTGGGTAGTAGAGTCATTTTCACAATTCATTTAATCTTCACATGGGCACTGAAACAGGTGCCCAGTGGCCTATTAAGGTATAAGATGCTTAAGAGTCAGTTACTCACTTAAGGTAATAAGTTTTTGTTTTTTTTTTCTTGGCTGCATTGGGTCCTCGTTGGTGCATGCGGGCTTTCTTTAGTTGCAGCAAGTGGGGGCTACTCTTCGTTGCAGTGTGCGGGCTTCTCATTGCGGTGGCTTCTCTTGTTTTGGAGCACGGGCTTCAGTAGTTGTGGCATGCAGGCTCAGTAGTTGTGGCTCGTGGGCTCTAGAAAGCAGGCTCAGTAGTGTGGTGCACGGGCTTAGTTGCTCTGCGGCATGTGGGATCTTCCCAGACCAGGGCTTGAACCTGTGTCCCTTGCATCAGCAGGAGGATTCTTAACCGCTACACCACCAGGGAAACCCGGTAATAAGGCTTTATTCTTAGGGGTTGAGGGTTATAATCCTCTCTGGGTCTGAGTCTATCCTTTTCAGCCCGTGGCTTCGGGCAAAAGCTGCCAACAGGGCTGCAATTTGGTTCCATTCAACAAATATGTAAACACATGTGGCTAATCCTGAGCCCCGCCTCTGGTGGAAAAACAGAAGTTGAGGTGTTTGTCCTGCAGGCTCTGGACTGGATGCTGGGCTGTGCTGGACCACCTGGCAGCCTCCTTCTAGGGCAGCAGTTATCAGATGATTCTGTCCTCCCACCCGGGAACATCTGGCGATGTCTGGAGACAGTTTAGGTTGTTACAGCTGTGGGAGAGAAGACACAACATCCCAGTGTGTCAGCAGGAAGGCACTTTAGAAACCCTCCTGGTTCACGCTTTAACAACAGCACGGTCCTCACATTGCAAAGCAAGTTGCAAAGGCAGGTTACACGTAGCCTCACTCATGCCCCAGAGCATCCCCGGGACAGACATATAGTTGCCCCTATTTACAGATGAGAAAACTGAGGCCTGGAGCCGTGAGGTGATCACCTGCAATTCTAACAGCGCCAGCCTGGCAGACAAACCTAGAATCACGTGTCTGCTCTAGCCCATGTTGGCTGGACTACTTTGGACACATTTCTTAACCTCTCTGAGATTGAATTGGCAAAGGAGGGTTAATAATAATGAGGGTTAATAGTGGTGCACAGTTGTAGCATTGTTGTGGGAATTACATGCGATAATGCAGTGAAGATGCAGCATAGAGCCTGGCACAGGTAAGTATTCAGTAAATATGGGTGGTTTTGTCATTGTTGTTATCTTTTCATTTCCCCCAGGCTGCTGCAGCTGTGGTGCACACACAGTCACCCCCATCAGTGTACCCAGATGAAACCTGCTGAAAATTAGAGCAAAACGTTGAGGTTCCACTGAGCAAACTCAGAATGTTCCTGTAGACAAGTTCAGGGTGGAGGGAAAATTATACAGGACAGAGGAGTCATTGGACTTTATCCCTTGAGTGAAAAAAGAGTGGATATATGTATATGTGTAACTGATTGACTTTGCTGTACAGTAGAAACCAACACAACATTGTAAAGCAACTATACTCCAATAAAAACTAATTTTAAAAAGTAAATAATAATTAAAAAATAGTCACCTGCTTCCTCCCTCCTCAGTCTTAACTAAAGATTCCTGACATTTGGTCCTGTGTCTCTTGCTGCCAGTGAGGGTTTTGATGCCTTCCTGTATCTTCCATAGAAATCACATGGCAACAATTTAGAAACTACTGCTGTGTGTGCACATCTAATCATTTGGACTCAAGGCAAGAATCTCTTGATAGCTAAGCCATGGCTGAACGTGCCTGATTCTTTTTTGGACTTGTTTTAGGCCAAAGTGTGCCCTGAGATGTCTCCCTTTGGAAGGACTGGCTGGGGAAATTCTCCCAGTTGTGATATTTGAAGGTTCCCCCCTGTCTGTGGGCACCAACAGCTGGGCTATGATGGTCGTGGGTTTGGGAATCATTCTAGACGTTGGTTTCATAGGTGTAGACTGGGTCCAAATTGTACCAAAACCTGCCTGCCGCAGCCTGGCCGTGGGCACTAAGATTGTTCAAGGATATGGCTACTGATTCTCACAGTACTTACCCCAAATGCACCTTTGTTGTGGGACAAGATGCCATTTTCAGAGAGCTCGAGTCCCAGGTTCACTGCGTCATTTAAGTCTCCAGTGCGGCTTCTCATTTCCCAGGTGTGGACGGGCTCACAGGTTAAGTGTCTTGTCCAAGATTCCTCAAGCAGCAAGGGGCCTCTGGAATTGAACCCATGACCATCTGTCTCCCTTAGGGCCAGGTCTACATCACACTCTGTCCCCAGTGCACACAGCGCCCCTGGTCTGAGCAAATTACATGGGTATGCCTAGGGACGCCCACCTGGGCTCGGGACTTTGCCGTCACAACGTGGGCCAGACGCCAGCCTCCGTCTGCCTCTTGGGCAGGCACTTTTTTGTGCAGTGTGCAAACTACACAGCAGCATGTGGCAACCCTGAGCGCCAGCCTACAGCCTGGCCTGGCACAGAAATGCTCAGTAGGGATTTGCTGAAAGAGTGATCCCAAAGCCCCTCACCGTATCTGCCTGCGGCTCTGAGAAGCCTCTGGCCATAATCTGAAACACACAGAAAACCCCAGCCCAGAGCTTCTGACAGTATGTCCCTTTTTTTTTCCTCTCCCTTAAAAGCGATACGTAGATGGAGGAGTGAGTGACATCATACCCTTCTTTGATACCAAAACAACCATCACAGTTTCCCCCTTCTATGGGGAGAGTGACATCTGCCCCAAAGTCAAGTCCACGAACTTTCTTCACGTGAACTTCACCAAGCTCAGTCTACGCCTCTGCTCCGAGAACATCTACCTATTATCCCGGGTGTTATTCCCTGCGGATCTCAAGGTGAGGGGGCCTGGGGGCATTTAAACAGCGCTGCTGTTCAGATCCCCCCTCCAGGGGCTATGGCTTAAGTATGGGCAGCCTGGATAGTAGGATTTTTTTTTTTTTTTTTAATTAGCCCAATGATTCTTATGTGCATCCGTGGTCAAGAACTACACTGCAGGACTTCCCTGGTGGCACAGTGGTTAAGAATCCGCCTGCTGAGCAACTAAGCCCATGCACCACAACTACTGAGCCTGCACTCTAGAGCCCATGAGCCACAACTACTGAGCCCACGTGCTGCAACTACTGGAGCCGGTGTGCCTAGAGCCCGTGCTCCGCAGCAAGAGAAGCCACTGGGGCTTCCCTGGTGGCGCAGTGGTTGAGAGTCCGCCTGCCGATGCAGGGGACACGGGTTCGTGCCCCGGTCCGGGAAGATCCCACATGCCGCGGAGCAGCTGGGCCCATGAGCCATGGCCGCTGAGCCTGCGCGTCCGGAGCCTGTGCTCCGCAATGCAAGAGGCCACAGCAGTGAGAGGCAAGAGAAGCCACTGCATTGAGAAGCCTGTGCAATGAAGAGTAGCCCCCGCTCGCCGCAACTAGAGAAAGCCTGCGCGTAGCAATGAAGACTCAGTGCAGCTAAAAAAAAAAAAAAAAAAAAAAAAAACTCCACTGTATTGGGGGGTTTATTTTTTTTTTTTTTTTTTTTTTTTT